ACACCAAGAACACCATCAACAACATCAACAACATCAACAACATCAACAAGAACACCAAGAACACCAAGATCAGCAACAAGAACAACATCAACAACATCAACAACATCAACAACAACAACAGCAACAACAACAACAACAACTACTACTACTACTACTACTACTACTACTACTACTAGTCCTCCCACCAGACCACAAGACTACGGTACCGCTGCAGCGACCTACTACTGCGCACTGTATGAGCCCGAACACAGCCCCACACATAGAATCATCAAAGGCGCTTGCAAGACTGATACCAGTACCAAGCAATGCTGCGTCAGTACAGCATGACCGGCAATTGAACAAGTTTGCTTGCTTCTCCATGCTAATGAAACTTCTACGCCTGCACTACGGCCAAGACGGCAACCCCAACAGTACCGTAGGTTATATATTGAGGTGCGAGTAACTAATGATTGTATGACTTCTACCGAGAGGCTTCGCTTTTCAATGCTTCCACGCGTTTTAGGATATAGCTGGTGCTAGCACATGAAGCCTATATGGATTTACACACGTGATGCTGGCGACAGCAAGCAATGCTCACTCTGAGCTCTCTGAGCTCTCTGAGCTCTGGGCTGCAGAAAAATGCTGTAAATGCCTGGGATCTACTTTGGCTTCACGCGTCAACCATACTTTCATGGAGAGTCATTGGCTCATCTAAGCATAGGGCCCTGTACTTGCTCGAACTCCTTGAAGAAATACCAATCGTCCTGCACTCCAAAATGGCTCACGTCGATCGCGCGAGTAGTATCCGCATGTCCTCCAAATATCGCACTGGGTCGACTGCCTGTGGCATTGCAAAGGTCTTTGCGTCGTTGTTGGGCACGACATACCTGTCGTGGCAGGGCTACCCACACTTCTGCCTCCTCCGGTCATCATGAGAACGGGCCGTGCCAATGCGGGAAAGGTGCTTCGCAAGATCATCCACGCTGAACCGGTACTGGGATCTAAATGTGTTCATCACAAACACAATGAAGGTCCTGGCAAAGCGTCAACACTTTGAGAGGTGTTCACTTACCTTGCGCGGCAGTCTAGCTGAGGCTTGGGCACGAAAGTTGCGGAGGAGATTAGTAAAGACAGCAACTCCACCACCTAGTTGGTGAGGGCTGAGGACATTCACTACGGTTTTTGTGGCTTTCAGCAGTTCAAGCAGCCAGCATTCCACGAGTGCGACACGAAATCCGTCAGAAACTTGAAGAAGGACCTTTGCATGTAGCGAGACCTGGACGTGTTTGCAAGATCTGCTGGGTCCTCAGCTTTGAAATAAGGAGCTTGGCCTTTTGAACTCCTTGTGGATGGTGCGACACATCTCGACGATGTGATACCTCAGTCGCGTTTTGGGGACTTGGACCATCAAATTACTAGTGCAAATCTCTTCCGCCCCATCTGACAAACCAGCTTTGATTTGTTGATGCTTTTGCGTGGTCCACGGAGACCTCTGAAATCCTCTGAGGGTTGTCACCCAGTAGCTATTTATTCTGCCGCCAAGGAGCAGGAGCAGGGTTGCGTAAATGCCAAACAGCAGGAGGACGAAGGACTGCAAGCTGAAGTACCCACCTGTGCTTACGGTACCTACTGCAACTACTGCAATGCATCTCCAGCTTTGCAGCAGTCAGGACGCTGTGAAACGAAGCAAGCGCAAAAGTGCGCACCTCCCGTGTCGACGTTCATCGGGAAGGTCTTGGACTCTGCAGATCTGATCATCACGCCAGTCCGCATAAGACTAAAGCCCACCTCATACCAACGTCAGCTTGAAGGCTTGCTTCACAGCGCTAGGGCGCATGCTGAGGCAACCGCAACATTGTGTGTGAACAAATCCATGTTGCCGTTGTAGCTGATCCTGCATTGAGTTCAACTGAGACATTATCTCTTCTCATCGCGAATGGAAGCCAGTCCAGTCAAAAACCATGGAGGCGGAGTTTTCACTGAACCATCTGTCGGCATCGAGGAGTGAGAGCATCTCTTGGCACCTAGCAGATTCTGATTGCTTGCCTCACTGCAAAGGGGCATGAAAATGCCAAGGACGCAACTGAGCTGCAGTGACGCCTAGACTAAAGGCCTGGCAAGGTGCGCAAAAACGAAGACATGGCAACACAACATAAAACTCAATGACAACACGCTTTTTCGCCGGAGACACCAGGCCGCCCAACATCCGAAACGGCCTAAGAGAAGTGTAGCGCATGATCGTCTACACATTGTGGACTTCTGCTTTACCAAGATGTGACAACCGAGTCCAGCTGAGCTACCCCAGATCTTTGGAGGGCGAGTCGTACTGAAATCTGAAGGTGTCCCTCGCACACAAAGCTCGGCTCCAACTTCACAGAATGAGATTGACATGATTAAAACAGAGGCCAACGCGGAAGCTGAGACGTGAGGTTTATGGCACTTGACAGGCTTTGCGCGTCCAGAATCTGTCCATCTGCAGTTCTGCACCTGGGACACGCATTCATCAACCAAGCTTATCAAAGCTACGTGCATGCAAGTTGCGGCTCTTGCGAGAACACGTCTGTGCAAACCTTTGGAAACATGGCTGCCCACTTGCAATCCGGGGATCTTGCGCTGAGGCTTTTCTCCCAGTCCCCGACCGCATTCCAGCACTCCACGTTGGGTGTCTTTCGCAAAGTGGGTGACCTGCAAGGACTGTCGAGCGCGCGATGCGCTGCTGCGCAACATGTGCAAAGTCCTTCCAAGCTTTGCCAAATCTAGAAAAGTCGTGCTCACGTTCGATGCGTTGAGGCATCACGTCAATTGAAAAGTTCCAAAGCTGGGCATGACTTTCAGCACTGCCGTTTGCTCTTACAGTCCACAACACGAGGTCCAAAATTGTCTGGGAGACTTCTGACAGGCTAGCTTTCGGTGTCTTGGCTGACAAGGTGCGGCTGGCGTAGCAGTGTAGCTGTGTTTGGCTCGAGATTTCCTACCCTCGAGCATGGTAGAGAAGAGCAGAAGACACATACGCAGGCCACCACCAGAAAGAAAAACGCCAAGGTCAAAGCTTTGTCATGGTGATGATTCTTTTCCTGTCCGCTGCCTACCCGCAATTGCCGGGCAGAAACAGGACTTTAAAGATACGAACGATAAGAGTACTTGTTTCATGTAACCCTAGCAACTCAAGGGGGCTGATTTCATGTGCAAGGGGTTCTGGGAGCGGCAGGGCTCGTTTGGCTTAACGAGACATGTGATAAGAACCCCACATGCGCAAGAACAATGACGTGCTGTACCATGTTCCATGAACTTCACCAAACATAAGGCTTACATGTATCTGGACAAGGGTCACAACATTTTAGCGTTCTATACACAATCTAGCACCTCATTTCAGAGCCACATGAAGATGAGAACGTTCATTCTCATGATTACTGATATAGGCTTCGGATGTCCGACCACCTAGTAGCATCTAGGAATGTTGTTCAGCAAAGTCTCCGTATGAAGCGTTTTACAAGGAATCCTATGCTTGCATTGACTGTTTGGGTCGATTTTATCGGCAAATGCGGACTTTGGCAATTTTATCGCTAAGGTTCGCTAAGATCATGCTTAAGCTGCTGAATATTCCACCCAGTGTCGTCGGCGAGAAGCTCATGGTGTTTGCGGTGGTGAAGAGTGTAACCGGAACCAGCCCGGCGTAACGGGAACTAGCCTTGTCAATTGGGGTCCATTTTGCCGCCTCAGAGACAATCTCAAATATACCGGTTCCTTTCAAGCTTCCCCAGTACACAGGCGGATTTTTGAAAGATTTTTAGGGCCGTCAGAACTCAGGACCGCCCAATAAATCGGATTCTAGCCCCAAGCCCGGCCTTGGGAATTGGGAATGGGGCAGGAAAAGTTTGGAATCGAGGACAGGCCACGGGCCAACAGATGGAGAAATGGCCCCCGAACGATGCTGATGATGCTGGCCAAGGGGGGCAGCATCCTAAGCATCGTCGGCAGTCCGTTTCCCTTTTTCGATGAAGCCGGAAGGCAGACGAAAAAGCCCGACTGCAGCGACTGCAGCTCTACTACTGTCTACTATTCTGATATATTCTGATCACTATTAGCCGAGACTAGAAGCTACTGGAGCTGAATTTGTCTTGAGCCGGGAGCTTGATGCCATAGGCTACGTCCGCGCCATGTTATCCGAAATCGCGCTGCCGCGTGCAGTGTGCTGAAATTCCATCGTTTCCGAAGTTGCGCTGTTGCGTAGAGCGTGGTGACATGCCAGTTGGGTACCCTGCTCTTGCATGGAGATTCCTGACATGGTGGGTGAAACAAGATTTGAGACGCTGGTTCCTGTTACATCCGGAGATGGTTTCTATGAAGTCGTGCGGCGGTTCCTGTTCCGCACTCCGGCCTGGTTCCTGTTACGAACTCCCTGTCACATCCCCCCGGGTTCAGGCTGCGTCGTTTACTGCGGTGTTTGCCAGTTTCAAGGTTTTTCAACAGGGGATCTATGATTTCGCGGGTTCCATAGGACATTGTGCAGTTCCAACCAATTATGTTTGGACTTCCGATGCTGGCTGAAGCAGATTCCTGACAAAGCCACCATATAAAGGAGCTTCCCTTCAAAGAGATAAGCTTTTTCAATTCTGGTCAGGGACATATGGGAATTACAAAAGGATTAAGTGAGGCCCCTTGATGGAAACCTAGCACAACCCATGGAGAATGCAATGGGAACAGTTATCGTGGAGGCAGGAAACTTTGCCTTCTGGCGACCCATGTGAATTCATGTAAAATGAGAGAATTCCGAATGAGCATGCTAGCTGCTACCACTAAATGAGCCTGTGACCTACGATCCCTCCAAGCTATTCAACAACCTGTTCGGGTGCTCATGGGAGCGCAGCGCACCCGGAAGCCCAGTGAGATGAAGTTGCGACGAAGCAGGCGGGTTGAACTGTCAGCCGCACGAAGGTGGTGTTCCTCAGCCAGCTATGCCCTCAAGCATGTCTCAACGCTGCTTCGCATGGTTCAACGATTACATACAAGCATACGCAACTCGGCTGAGAGATTGGCAAAAAGCCAATGTTCCAGTTGGCAACTCGATTAATGAGCTGCTGCCTGGTTTCAGCAGGATGTGCCAATGCTGCTTGCCAACTGCAAACAATGCCGTAACACAAATTACAATTGCAATAATCGTGTGTCTCTTCCTCTTCCTCTTCTTCTTATTCTGGTTGTTTCCCACCCTCGCAGTGGGGTTGTTAGATTTTAAAGTAGATGTTGTCCTCGCCAGACTGGAAGCTGACTTTAGTGACCAACCACCGAATATCCCTGCAGTGCCCAACCGCAGAGTATCCCTGCAGTGCCCAACCACCAAGTATGCGCCCAACCGCAGAGTATCCCTGCAGTGCCCAACCACCAAGTATCCCTGCAGTGCCCAACCACCACGTATCCCTGCAGTGCCCAACAGCAGAGTCTCCCTGCAGTGCCCAACCGCAGAGTATCCTTACACTGCCCAACCGCAAAGGTATCCCTGCAGTGCTCAACGACTAAGTATCCTCGCAGTGCCCAACCGCAAAGTATCCCTGCAGTGCCCAACTGCAAAGTATCCTTGCGGTGCCCAACTGCAGAATATCCTTGCAGTGTCCAACCACCAAATATCC